TGACCTGAGTAATGGATGACCCCAGGGCTAGGTTGAGGGCCAGCGAGAGGAGTGGGAGGCGGCCGCAGGCGGGGGTTTCAGAAGCGGGCACAGCAGCATTACCGGCGTGTTTGTGAAATAGTGGTCAGGAAAAGAAAAGGCAGAGGAGCACAGTTCTGCAGCAGGCCCAGCAGCACTCAGGGACCTCTCGCCTTTAAATGTAACCACCTGCCTTCTAGGAGCAGTTCAACTGGCCCCATCTTATCAACAGAGTAACTGAGAGTTGTTTTTCAGGAACTGAGAGTCGACTGCTTGTCGAGTTCAGGCTGGTTGAGAGCACCAACCCATCAACTGGGCCAGCTACACATGCCAAATAAGTGGCCCTTTTGATGTCAAGGGGCCAAAAACTCCACCCTCAGGTCATGTTACCCCCACCATTTTGTGAACATGAAGCCTATGAAGAGCCACGAAGCTTGACTATGCTTGAGCAGCTCATCAATTACCTCACTTCTCCTCACCTCCAAGTATCTCTCTCCACACTTCAGACAGCCCAGCCCTTTGTCTCATAAATTTTGCCCCAAGCCCTAGATTGGGGAGACAGATTGAGAGCTTTTACCTCCTGTCTCCTTGAGGATTGACCTCTCAATGAAGCTTTCTTCTTTTCTCAAAAGCTGATGCCGTAATATTTGGCTGTTTTTGTGCTTTGGGCAGAGAACCCCATCTTTGTGTAGTAACACAGACAGATTCTTGGTTCACAATCGCTCAAGAGAAAGAACCCTGAACCGAACCCAGGCTCTGTATCAAAGACTCAGAAATATACAGCCGTAGATTTGTTAACTGATGGTCATCAACAGGGAAGAATAAACATGAAAGGCTTGTGGGAATTCCAATTGTTAGAATGTTCAAGTTTCAATAATTTGTGACAACTGAGGAAGTCTTAAAAAGTCTGTATGTAGGATTGCTTCAAATTGTGTTCCATTCCTATGCTGTAATGAAAAATGCCAAGCTTTTTGAAACGTAAAGGGAAGTAACACATCTTGACCAGCAGGTGGCAGGCTTACCTCATAATGATTTATTTAAAGGCTTGCAGAATGAATTACAGTAAAATTTTGATTCTGAGGGATATTATTACAAAATCCAAATATATCTCATACTTAGCAAGAATTGTGAAGACAATATTATTTAATCATTCCATAACCTAGAATTTCACAACTAATGTTGACTAAAACTATTCATTCAACTATAAGAATACAAGATAATACATGTAGGTATTAAGTGAATTCATCACCAAGACATATTTCTGCATACTAGATATAAAGTATAATATATAGACCATTCTAAGTCATAATGGGGGAAAGTAATATATCTAAATTTTGATTTTCCCATGAAGACACGTAATATATTTTGCCTTCTTATGGGAGATCCATATAATTTTACATTGTATAGTCCTGTAAGTCTCACTTAATTTCTTAAAAATGTTTAAGTTTCCATTCATTCTAGAGAAATATTACATTTACTTTCAAGTTTTTAGAAAAGTTCATCTGTGGTTGCAATTTTTATAATATTCAAAATATTTCATATACTAGTCAAAATTAAAATGGCAAACTCCATCGGATAATGATGGAAAATTTATGTTTACTCTCAAAATATTTGCTAAGTCTATTATGCTAAGATAACATATTTTTCTTTATTCACTTTACTTACATTCAGACAATCTCTGGCTTCACTTCCTACTGTAACAAATTAACAAGCATGCCTTGCCCCACAGCAGGTTGGGCACTAAGAAGGAAAGAGAGGGTTCCTGCCTTTTGGGAGCACATGACCTTGTTACAGAGAAGCAAGAAAGACTCTTATGTCTTTAGAAACTTCCTAAAATTTCTGAATACATAATTGCACATACATTCCCAACAGAAGGCTTACATTATCAAAGGGGAAAATGGCAGCTAGTTTGATTTTGGGGTAACTAGTGGTCAGCGAGGCACTCAATAACTCAGTTACTCATTACCACCTCACTCCACAGCCCAACCTCCACATGCACACATCCACTCTCCAAGATTCAGATGAATAAAACCTGTATCTCAGAAAAGTTTCATGTGCCTAAGTATCAGAGATCCTTTTAATAACAGAACCAGAAAATTTTTAATCTCCAAGTGCCAGGAGTCTAGTAAATGCATGGCATGATAAATAACAAAAGATGGTGTATACATTTCAAATGTCACTTAGAAAAAATCAGGAGACAGAATGGACCAAGTTCCTAAAGGTTGGTGGTGCAGATTACAGGTGCAGAGTTGGGCAAGGTCTCTGCCAGGGAGAACAGCTAAGGAAGATCTCCTAACGGTGATGAAGGTGAGCTGGAGCTGGGATGATGAGGGGGATTCGGAGAGAGAAAGAAGACAGGGGCCATTTCAGGTGGGAGAGAGAGAGAAGAAAACGTAAAGGAGCTTTAATTATTATGGAACATTTGGAGGAAGCTTTACCTAATTTAATTTTTAAAATAATACATTTTTACTGTCCACTGAGCTCATATGCAAAATAATAAGGTTGCACCCAAAGATCTTCCAAGACCCTACTGGTGCTAACCCTCCATAACTTGATTTTCTTCATGCCAATTACACTGATATAGGCTGAATTGTGTTACCCCCAAATTCATATGTTTAAGTGACCTCATGTGGAAATAGGGTTATTGCACGTGTAATTAGTTAAGATGAGGTTACACTGGAGTATGGTCCTAGGGCCACTAACCCAATATGGCTAATGTCCTTATAAAAAGAGGAAATTTAGATACAGACCCGCACACAGGGAGAATGCCACATGAAGCCTGGAGTTATGCTGTCACAAGCCAGGGAACTACCAGAGGCCAGGAGAGAAGCCTGGATCGGATGCTTCCCTAGTGCCTTCAGAGGGAGAATGGCCCTGCCGACACTTTGATGTTGGACTTCTAGCCTCCAGAACTACGAGATAAGTTTCTGTTTAAGCCACTCAGTTTGTGTGACGGCAACCCTAGCAAACTTAACATCCATCAACCAAAATTCACTACCTTCATCTCAATATTCTGTATGTATAAACACATACACTGAAATCCAACATAAGTATTCAGATGTAGTCAGTCCATTAGAATTGCAGATGAGGAGGAAAAAACCTGTTTCATGCAGAGGCTGTATAAATTCAAGGACCCTGGGTAAATCCTCTTTTGCCAATTTAAAATGAAGTGTGGCTGCTGGTGGAGGCCCGTGAAACAGCAAAAGGGGCCAGATGAAGCTCCTCTCCAGGTTCCACCTCACGTGGAGGGCTCGTTGCACCACTGCTCTGTCAGTCATCAGCTGATCTGGAACATCAGCCCGACTCTAGGTATTCACACTGTCTTCCTTGAGTCTCTTCTTGTTCTTAGCCAAACAGTGCATCAGTTGGCATACGGACCACCTTGTGTGACAGAACTGGGCTTTCAGCTCTGACCGCCAACCTGAAAGATGATCCAGAATGTTCCTGACCCTGATCCTCACAACCACGACTCTCCATCTTCAGTGACAGTACTATGCTGATCTGAAAAACCATCCATATCTCTTTGTTTATTTGGTAACTTACTTACTTGACACCCCTATTTCCAAAAAGGACTTGAGGTGACAAAACAAAACGACCTGGCCAACATGTATATTACAAACTGTGTGGACAGTTGCACCTTCCATAAAGTCTACTTTCATGGAATTGTAAGGTCTCAGATGCGTGGTGGAAATGCTGCTTGCTTGTGCTTGAACGACATGTGCTTTCAAACTGAAACGCTTCATCTGCCACAACATCACCCTTTACATATGGCAGATCATCAAAGGGAAACTGATCAGTGTAAACGGCAGAGAAAAGGAGGGGAAAAGTTCTCATTTGTCACTCATTATCTGCTGACCACTTGTCCCTGAGGCAGGCGCCCTGACAATATAACTCCCTCTGCAGGAAAACTCACTTGGTGGAAAACATTTTTTTCTTTTCTGTGTTTCTATCTTGTGCTTGTGTAATCTCTAAAGGTGACAGAACTTCTGAAAAAATAAAAGAGACAGAAAAAACTATGATAAGAGCCAAACATATGACAGGAAAACAAGGGGTACCAAAAATAAGAGAAATAAAAATCAATTGAGTAAATAAATTTTTCTAGAGAAATTCAAGCACAAAACTCCTTACAAGTTTTTTACACAGAGAAATGCAGTACAAGAAAAGAAGCAGGAACAGGGAAGGACTCACAAAATTTAAAATTTTTAACAAATTCATTTCTGTTGTTGTTGTTTGGGTTTTTTTTTTTTTTGAGGAAGATTAGCCCTGAGCTAACTACTGCCAGTCTTCCTCTTTTTGCTGAAGAATACGTGGGACGCCTACCACAGCATGGCTTTTGCCAAGCGGTGCCATGTCTTCACCCAGGATCCGAACCAGTGAACCCCGGGCCGCTGAGAAGTGGAACGTGCAAACTTAACCACTGTGCCACCGGGCCAACCCCAACAAATTCATTTTTAAGAAAATTTTAAAAGAAAAAAATCAGAATCTAAGAAGTTTAGTGAGAAAAAATAAACACAGGCCTTTTCTGTAAGAGATTTTCTGAATTATCCTACAGTATCCCCAAACAAACAGGAAAAACCAGAACCATTTCTTCAAAAGACATACACATGCTATGGTTACTGTCGAACCACAACTGCATATATACCATGTACAAACTACTCCATGGCAACACACCATGCTCTGTTCTGAAAGCTTCATTGAACTGCATCCTTACGAAAGGAAAAGTTCCCAGTCCCTCATCACGGCAGCACATCCCACTAACGTGACACCAACGTCGGCCCCTTCTTAAATTGTTAATCAGTTCTCCTGCTGTAAACCGATTCCTCTCTACTAGGAGACATGAGTCAGGTAAGACTATTACCCTGAAGAATAACACCATGTTCTAGCCAAATGCTTTCTGGAAGCATACTGCCTCAGTCAGCTTGGGCTGCTATAACCAAATACAATAAACTGAGTGGTTTAAACAACACACATTTATCACTTACAGTTCTATAGGCTGGGAAGTCAAAGATCAGGGTGCCAGCATGGCTGGGTTCTGGTGAGAGCTCTCTTCCTGGCTTGCAGGAGGCTGCCTTCTGGCTGTATCCTCACCTGGTGGGGAGAGAGAGAGATCTTCTCATGTCTCTTAGTGTAAGGGCACTACTTCCCCTATGAGGGCTCTACCTTCAAGACCTAATTAATTCCCACTCCACACCTCCTAATACCACCACTTTGGGGGTCAGGCCTTCAACATGAATTTTGGGAGGACGCAACTCAGTCCATAGCACAACACTGGATTTATCCAGTTTTGCCCATCTTTCAAGGTCCTCTCCCATATAAATTACTCACAAGTGTACAGTTGGCACACAAACCCAACAGGACTCAAACCAATCGGTTTTGAATCTGCACCTCGGGCTAAGATGGTGCTGCCCACATCACCTCAAAAGTGATGGTATGTTGTGTGCATTTGTGTACAGAGCTTTACCATGAACACTCATACACCAGTCAGCACTTTCATACACAAGACCAATAGCACCGAGGGAAGAACCAATCAATCAGCCCATTTTGTAATGAAGAGCAACTCACATGGTAGGAATACACTGGTGGGAGGAGAGAAGCATGCACAGCAGGCCGGCCAGAGGATGCTGGCAGGACAAGCAGTATGTAGAAGACTCTTACCCCTGAGTAAGTCAGCATGTGGAGGTCCAGCTACACGGGCCCCCATGGAACACCAGGCCTGTTGGAAAGGGGCTTGTTATACTCCACTCTAGGTTGGAAATATTAAGTGTAATTAAATGAGAAGAGCACAAAAATTCCTGGAGCTCATGGAACGCACGCTCTCCATCCATCAGTTTTTACTCAACAATATGGCAAGTATCAGCGCTCTTGCGACCCCCAGAAAACCACTCTGTAGCTGAAGCTCTCTACCGTATCATCAGGAATAAATCTCGTTGCTAAGAGAAGCCATCATGGCCACGGATGTTTGGAGGCTAAAGTTAAGTCAGCGCTCCTGGCATCTAAACCGCCAAGTTGTTTCAGGATAAATCTGGCATCGACTTTGATCATCCAGGTTCCTTAAGCAGGTTACAAACAGGGCCTTGGATGGCACTTAAATTAGTAAGGATATCATTAAAGGAAAGGCTGAGAAATGTACAATGCACTCACACAAATGGAACAGAATACTGTCCAAAAACATTACTAATGATGAACTTCAGACATAGAATCAACTTTGGACTGCCCACCCGATTTTACATTTTTGCTAATAATGGTGACAGGTTGCATTACTCCTCTATGCCTTATGCAATTTCCCTAGTGACCATCTTATAACAGGTGGATAGTCTTCCCAAAACCAGAACAAAGTGAGATTAAATTCCAAACATAAATGGTATCTTGGTTTACTGTCACGCTGCAGTGTATTGTGATCTGAAAACAGTAACCAACTAGACAGGCCTGCATCAAATGGGTGAAGCTGGATCAAAACCCACTCTGTACTGGGGCCAGTCTGGTGGCACAGTGGTTAAGTTCACACATTCCAATTCGGTGGCCCAGGATTCGCTGGTTCGGATCCTGGGCGCGGACCTATGTGCTGTTTATCAAGCCATGCTGTGGCAGGCGTACCATATATAAAGTAGAGGAAGATGGGTATGGATGTCAGCTCAGGGCCAATCTTCCTCAGCAAAAAGAGGTAGATTGGTGACAGATGTTAGCTAGGAGCTAATCTTCCTCAAAAAAATAAAAATAAGAAAAACCCACTCTGCACCAACCCCACTCCAGATGGCTACAGCACGGAGCTACAGCAACTCTCCAATAATTTAACTGAATCAAAGAATTGCTGTGGACTTCCAATTTCTCCTCACACCACAAAAAACCTTATTTATAAGACAAAAGCCACTTGAGTCTCTGACTTCAGATCTGACCTTTCCCTATATAAGATTCAGAAAATGTGACCCCTTATTATGTTTAATCCTCATAGTAATATGTATTAAAGTAATAAAGATTACATATTAAGACAGGATGGAGGAAATCCTGTGGGCAAGCAGAAACCCTTGGATCTCTCCATTCATCTGGGAATTTCACAGATATCTTCAAGACAGATGGATCTGACTGCCCAGACATTTGCCTGGAGAATTTCCTTTCATTCCTCTCTTTGGAAATAGATTATATACTCAAACAAGTATATTAAATTTTATGGTCAATATAAAGGATTTTCTAGATTAATTTTTACTGTATACTAATTTTAAGAACCTAACGCTACATGAGAAGCCACTTTCCCAAATACCAACTTGTTTCTAACCAAATCATCTTTCTTTTTTTTTTAGGTAAATAACAATTCAAAATGAAGTCATTGCCATTCTTTCACATACCTTCTTTCCTAATATAGACTAATTTATTTGAAAACTGTATAAATTAAGTTCATATTTTATTCAAAAGACATTTAGCAAGTACCTACTATAGGAAGGATAAGATCCTCATGCACAAGCTGCAAGACCATGAGACGGGGCCTCCATCATCTGGAGTTTTACCTAGTTTGGGAAGATAGGAAATGTATGTTAAATGTAGTTTTCAGAATAAAACAATTTTAATGTTGTACCAGATAAAAATAAAATCACTTAATTTGCTGTTTAGTAAAATTCTTTAGACTGATTTAAAACGTAAAATTCATTATATTTTTATTGTTGCTGATATTTATTCTTGCTGCAATCCTGTCACTGAAAATTCATTTATCATGCTTAATGTTTTTATTAATCTTCCACCATAAATAACTCATGGGGTAAGAGTCACTCTCCAATTTGCTTTATAGCTTGAAAGAAAAAGGCATCTTAGTTCTTTTGTAAATGAACTGTCACTATAAATTATGCAATGTTCCTAAATTGTTAGACAAATCTGGCATATTTGTTTTATAATAAATTAAAACATATGCATTAGACTTGATTTTCCCACTTATTTGCAATATTAGTTTCACTGGTCCAAAATATTGCATCTAATCCATTCTCAAACTTATGAATTATATGGCTAATTTCTTGCGATGACAGTGAGAACAAATCGTACTCAAGCTCATACGACACTGTCCAATTTCCCACTTCCTTTTAGGCACCGCTGATGAGCTAGAGTCATCTGAATGTTTAGGATGATCCACCCTGACAGTTAATGCAACAAATGAAAAATATTCTCACCCCAAAACCATTAATATGCATTTATTGATATTAAAGGTATTGATGCCATTAAAAAGTTACACTCTTAGAGAAAAGATCTTAAAAGTTTTCATCACAAGAAAAAACAATTTTAACTATGTTTGGTGATGGATATTACTTAGACATTTGTGGTGATCATTTTGAAATATATACATATATAGAATCATTATGTTGTACACATGAAACTAATATATGTCAATTATATCTCAATTTTTAAAAAGTTACATTCAGTGGACAAGAGTATGAAGTGAAGAAATATATACCCCCTTCTTAAATTCCTGTCCCCTGCCACTCCATGGTCCCATCTCTAGGCTGCTCTCGAGGAACTTATAGCTCTAACCACAACTCCAGATAGAAATGCATCTCTGAGAGGCCCACTGGCTTTTGAGGGGCCTAAGGAAATCCCCAAGAGTTATCCACAGACACAGGTATCTTTTTTTTTCCCCAAGGAGCTACTGTTTATTAAGAGTGTATATATACAAGCAATCATTATTAAGGTAGAATCTACTAATTATAAACATCCACACTGGTGGTGTTTGGCTCATCCAACACATTTTTTTCTAACAGGAAATAGTCCTACACCAGGCATCTTTAATAGGACTAGGCCAAGTGTAACAGTGCCTCAGCACTAGAAACTAGTGGGTCATCAGCCCTTGCTTGGTGAAGCAGGGACAATAAGAGGATGGTGGAAGAGTCATTTCAGCCCCAACACCAGGCTCCAACCTTGTGCTGCCTTAAAGGGTTGGGAGGTTGGGGGGTAGTTAAGGGCAGTGGCGAATGACCACTACATTCTTCCATCACCCTCAACCCTGATGACAGAAGACAAGGACCGGGAAACAGCTAGAGTATGAAGCAGGACAGGACACTCCTGATCCAGGGTAACCTTGAGCACCCTGAAGGTCCCCATCGTCCTGTGCTTTCAGCTTTCGGTCTCCTGGCCCCCAGGAACTGCCTGCAGAGAGGTCCACTTAGACCATGGTCTTCTCCAAGAGGAAGTGAGACCCCGGTGGAGGAACGGGCTGGGGACCTGGGGAACGCTGGGGAGACGAACAAGGGAAGCTTAAGAAGGAATCTGATGATACAGCAGCCTCTTTGAAGCTGGTAGTACTGCATTCTCAACGTGATTTCTTAACCATTAAATGAATTTGTAAGTAGATGTCACAATACCAAAAAAGTCTATTTAATGTGGGTCAAAAGTTGGCAATGCTTGAATTATGTAACCTCTATGTTCCTGACTTGCCTGTCATATCACATTTTTAATACTTTAAGTTAGATAACAACTACTATTTAAAGGAAACGTGTGCCTAAGCCAGAATCTTATAAGAAATAAATCAGTTCAACCATTTAAGCATGTGTCTTTGGGAACTGTCTTTGAAGAATGCTGTCAGAGGGCCACGGCCTGGCTTGCATCTGAGAAGTCTCTCGGATTCTTCCAGTAATGAGTCTGGTTCCTCATTTCCCCATTAGTCTTCTCATAACATTATGAAAGGAAAGCAAATTATACTCTCAAGAAAAATAAACAGCGTTAGAGTATATATGAGCCAAAATAAGAGACAGAGAAAACCAGATGAAGACCATTAGAATCAAAAGCACCAAGTATGGGAAAGAGTACATAGGAACTTCCAAATGCCAACAACTCCGAGTTGTCAAACGAGGGAGAGTGATGGTCCCATGAATGACTATTTTGGTGTCCTTTTGTAATACTAACACCTCCAGAATTGTCTTTGGTTCTCCTCCTTTTCTGGTGCCCCCAGGAATGGGGTCCAGCGCTAGGCAAGTTAGGTTGGTAAACAGCTAAAAGATGACAGGCAGTTCTCCTCCGAGGGAATTCATACCTACTGCCTCCTATGGGCAATAAGCAATAGTGGACTTTTAAAGTAATTAAATGTAATATTCATGTAACAGTCAAAGATTCTTGAAGATGGGCTGGGGATTTCCTTTTCAAGCTTAGCCCATTTTCAGTAATTAGTCCTACAGGCCAAAGCACACACACAGAATTATAAATCACTTGAAATCAATCACATCAAGACAGATCTGCGAAGTCCTTTTATATTCACGCTGTTTTCTCCTGGTCACTGCTGGCCTATGTCATTATGCTTATTAGCAATTCTTAGCTGCACTTCTGAGCCACCTTACCCTACATTCCATAATTGGGAGCAGCAAATCCTAATTTCTATTCAGTTTAAGGAAACAGGCCCATTTAGTTCATAAATACAATTACAACGCTTCTCAAGTTTTAGGGATGATTAATTTCAAGTTACCTTTAAAATTCCTATGAAAGCAAAAGAGAAGACTCATTGAAATTAACAGCGGAAATGCCTACTTATTACAACAGAGACCTCATGAACCATGATCCTGAAAAAATAGCCACTAACTATTCCTTAGTATCTTCTCCTTCAAAATTTTTCATGCATTCGGCCATACATTCATCCACGATTTTTTAGCAGCTTTGCCATTTGACCCAAATCAGGAAGAAACGCACTTGCAGCAGATCTGAAACATTTCATCTGAAAGAAAAGCGGAATCAATATCATACCGACTGAGGCCAAAGTCCGAATGGTGTTTCAGACCAACCAAGTGGCTGATGCTTTTTGTATTTTAAAATGCCTGCCTCCAAGATATTCCAATATGTCGTTCTAACACCAATTTCCAGCATGTAATACAACAAAATTGACTGGCATCTAATATGTGCCAGAAGACATACTAGATTAAATTGAAAAGACTACTAAAGAGAAGCTGCAGAGTTTATATATGCCTGAAAAGCAGGTGTGGTCCAAACGAAGCAACCTATTCCCTCAGCTGGATAACTGCAGTTCTATCATAGCCATAGCATGGTCCACATGTGAGAAAAACTACTCATAAGCACACTCATCCATGATGGAGAACAAACCAAACACAACTGTTCCTGTAATTACGGGTAGAAACTATTCATCACTCGGGAGATGGAAGGCGGGGATCACACCGAAGGTTAGCACATTTGGACTGTGTCTATATTGACGGGGAAGAAGTGTTTCACTTTGTCAGAAAACTTCATTCCCAGGGTTGGCTCAAGCCACAATTGTGACAGAATCAAAAGTAAATTTTAGTCCCCACTTCAGTCCTTTCCCATGGTGACAATTCACTTGTAGATGTCCAGGGCCTCCATGCTCCCTACAATGCAGCCCATCAGGGAAGCCCATCAGAGAAGGGCCTAGGCTTCCGACAGCAGGCTTCCTGCTCTATCCAAACCTCACTTAGCAGAGGGAAAGGACCAAGAAGTGCAGCCAGATACCCACCTAACACAGGCCTTCTTAGCTTCCCAGTGTCCTTCAAATCCTACCAAATGAAAACCAGCTCCTTCCCCCTTCTGCCAGGCCAGCATCGTATTCTCCCAATTCTTGCCACTGTAAGTCCCCTGAACCGCTGAAAGGACTTGTACTCCCGTCATCCACCTTGGCCTCTGCCCTCCCTGCCTCTGCCACCCCTCAGGGCTTCTTCCCAGCCTTCCCCTGGCAAGAGCCTTGTGTCCATACCAAGACTTTTAGTGTCACATTTATCCACAACATAAAAAGATAAAATGCAGAATTTCCTTTCCTTCCTTCTTAATTCTAGTAAACAACTACTCAAAAAAGAGAGATGCACGAAAATCACCAGCACAGAAAATGACAATCCAACTTTCGGAGTTCACTCTGGACCTCTCCCTGTGCAGGTTTCTCAGGTAATTCCTGCTGAGGTCACCGTGAAGCTGCAGAAGCTCACCTGGGCCTGAGAGCCCCTGGTTCCGAGCAGCTTTCCACAGTGGGTGTCGAGCATCCCTGCCAAGGGTTGGGGCAAGGGATTGTCCTTGGGGCCACATTCCTGGAGAACATCCTGGCTTCTCTGGGGGTTTGTTTTCCCACTTGTCAACCGTGATTTGTTAGTTTGATTACCTGGGTCACCCAACTTCCACCTCCTCCAGCCTATGGTGGGAAAACGGATGTTTGGCCTTCCCTCCTTCCCGAGGAAAATATAAACTAAAAGAACAAAACTTCAAGCCGTGTACAAGACAGAACTTTTCCAGAATCCAAGGGAAAAGCACCCGAGAAGTCAAGTTTTACAGAGGGGTCCCCTCTAGGCCTCACCTCATCTCCCCAGTCAGCCTCTCGGGGGCTCTTCTCAAACCTCCCTCACCAGAGGTTCCCTCTTCTAACCTTCCCATGCATACATCCACCCACCTTTCAAAAAGCCCCTACACACTGGAGGTGATTCTTGGATTCATCCCTTCTCCTGTCAATAATTCACATCCCTAAATCTGAGTCATTGTCTGGAATGAAACCCCGGGGAGCGACAGGCTCAGCTGCGATGGGCATTAATGTTGAAGGCCGGCAAACTGTCCAGGAGGGCGGGGCTCTGATGTGGTCTCAAAGGGAGGTCCAGAAAGGGTGCGACCCTTCAAGCTGGGTCATCTGCCCCAAGTGAGTGGCAGGCATGCCATCTGCTCTCCTGATTTTGGCAGCTGGCTAACTGGTTAGACCACACTCGTACACATATACCTCCAAAGGACCAACATCGATGCTCAGTCTAAACCCATAATGAGGAAGGGAATATTTTCCTAATGCTGACTCAGACTTTTCGAGAAGCTTCGTACTCGGTGGCCAGCAAGTTGCAAGATGTGGAAGTATTTGCTCCCTTTCATTTCCACCCCCCCAAATCCCCCTTTCTAATTGTGCCCTTTTAGACACCCAGAACAAGGAAAAAGCCTAATGTAGGGTTACACACCACTTATTGTCCTCTTCCAGGAAGGGGTAAGGTCAGAACTTCCACTGTCCCACTCACCCTCTGTCAGAGGAGGCTGGATTTAGGAAAGAGGTGCTGGAGAATGACACCTGGCCTGAATGGGTCACCAGCAAAACGCCGTGTGGTTCAACACATAGAAAAACAAGCGGCTACTTTACTACATATTCCGCCACATTCTCCAGACTCTCTAACATGAGTCAAGGCTATTCAATAAGCACAAACAAGGATGACAGTTTCAAAAATGGATGGATTCCCTTCCCATCCACTTACATCTCTCTGCCAGAGAAAACTGATTTGGGACTACTTGAAGTTTTGGACTAACAGCTATCATTTTCCCTTTTATGTATATGACTTAGAACTGCGTTTCTCAAATACAGTATGCAAAATCCTGTGGAGGGCTTGTTAAAATCGCTTCCCCCTGGACCACTCTATCCAGGAGGTCTGGAATGGGTTCATCATTCCCCCAGGGGATTCTGAAGCAGGCAGTCTGTGCCTCCATAGTTAGCTCTAGGGCTCTCAGCAGACAATGGAGCTGGTAGAACTGTAAAAATTATGTTCATTCCTAAATGGTTAATCTGCCCTCCCAGGGTGCCACACCTTCAACAGAAAAACTAAAATCTATTCTAAGGAGTAACCATATAATTAGAAGGTTACACCTACCCTGTGGAAGGAAACACAATGATAGAGAACAATAGAATCTGTGGATTAATTAGCAACACAGTGCTGGGCCTTGTGCAGTTACAGACTGATAAAACAAGTACATCAGACGGGCTCAAAAACACTTCCTGATTTCTGAAGCTGAAGAAAATTCACTGGGTTTAAGGCCAACTCTGAAATCTCGCTTCTGTCAAAAGAGCATAACCATGCAGCAGGCTGTATAGAGGTGACTTTGTTCTGGTATTTTTTCTTTGCACTCTATTTACAATTCTCAAGAGGAATTTTAAAAATTAATGAACTTTAAATATTATATGGGCACATATGTCTATCATTCATTTATTAAGTAAAATTTTATTGAGCACTGAGAACAAAGATACAAAGATGGTTGAGACAAGCCCTTGTTGTCATGTCGCCTACAATGTAGTGGAGGAGACGCAGGAAAATAAATCAAGGTTAGGTGTCAAAATGGAGAAAAGGTGTATGGTACAGGTGAAGTATTCAGGAGGAAGTCACCTTGGGGAGGTCAGAGGAGACCCAGCCTGAACTGGGTCTTGAAGAGGTAACAGTTCCCCAAGGCGTGGGCAAGGGGAGAGGAGAGACAAAGAACCAAGGGAACATGGAGGCGTGAATTCACATGATAAGTAATTCGGATTGGCTAGGATATGGGAAGCTAGGAGGCACTAGCTGGAGGCTAATGTGGAGAGGGAAACAGCCAGTTCAAGCCTGAAACTGAGACTTTATCCTGTAGGCACTCTGAAGCATTTAAGGATGTGTTGAAATATAATTTGCGTAAAAAGAAAAGTCTGAGGAGGCATAGAGGCTAGATTGGAGGGAACGCAGAAAGAAGATCCTTCTGGGAAAGATGATGGGGCCTGAAGAGGGCAGTGCAGGTAAAGGGTCCATATTGAGAGATATCTAAGGGCAGGGTGGACAGTGTCAGTCACCAGCTGGATGGTAGGGGAAAGGCAGATGGACAAAGCTGGGATAACATCCATATTTGTGGTGTGCAGAGAAGATGGGGGCACCAGTAACCAAGCTAGCATGTACAGGCAGAAGAATAACTATGGCTCGTGAGTTCTGTTTGGGACATACTGGGCTCAAGTTTCCTGAGGGTCACAGCACTTATTTGGTAGATTACATATAAGGGTCTGAACTCAGGGAGATATTTAGAACTTGTAGTTTGAGGCAAAGATAATATTCCAAATACTAACAAGTGGTATGAACAAATGGTTAGGCATAGATACCAATCAGAATAGGTGCCTGATCCACCAGAAAAGATCACAGCAATAAACAACTAGTGTAACCCATGTGCACACGCCAACTGAACACCGCCTTGGTACTGACAAGCACTGGAGTGGCTGAGAGTCCAGCGGGAGATGAGAAGGGAAGAGGCCACAGGACCGAACACCCACAATGGAGTGGTGCCAAGGAAAAGAACCTGGAGAAGGAAGATGAGAAGGAATAGTCAGAGAGGTCAGAGAACTAAGAAAGGTTCATATCACGAAAGACTGGGGAGCAGAAAGCATCAGATGGGGAGGAGTGGCAGAATGGACTATTGAAGAGATGTCTTACCCATCCTCTCCCAGGCTGGACTATTTGTGGTGTGGGTGTCTACCAGGACCAGGGCAAGTTTAAGAGCAATGCCCAGGTGGTACCAGTAACAATGGAGTTTCAAAGCTCAGAAAAGGGATAAGAGTGACTCCAGCACAAGTTAGGATTCTAGGAGGAAGTACTTAAGTAAATTTATTCTTCCCAGGAGTGATACCTAAAGACGGTGTCTCCCACTGTCCTGAAGCTGAAGGTGGGGGGAGCCTGGGTTTGAAATGAAGCCAACCTCCCTGAGGGTATTTCCCACTATTAACCAAGCCTCACAGGGCAGCTGAACTGCCTGCCCATCTTCCTCCTCTTTATACAGAAAACAGACAACCATCCCACTCACTTGCCTGGGCTCAATGAAAAGCTCTCTCTGGGTTCTTAAGTTTATCCATCTTGAGACTGTAAAATCTCTTTCCTGTAATATTTCTCCATTTCAGTCTTCTCTTCTGTAACAGAATATTAAAAGCAATTCCCCACACCTGCCTGAAGTGGATCGAAGATGGCATGAGAGCATTCTGCAGGTTCTCTGAGAACTGGAAAAGGGAGGCAGAAGGAAAGAGAGCAGAACGAATGCAGAATTGCCTTAAGAAAAAAGAGAATATAACTGCAGAATTATTTCAGAGTGAACATAAAGATTTAATCTTTGATAAAACAGGTGAAAATTTAACGTTCTAGTGCAATTGCAAAGAACGCTTATTAAGTACTTGAAAAGAAAGAAGATTTAGGTTTCCTGAAAGAACGACGGGCTGAAAAGTTCTTAGAGCTAAAATTCGAGATGCCATAAAACTACTGTTAAAATATGATTTCTAATTTCAATCTTTCAGGGCAAAATCAAGCTTTGATTCACTTGTAAGCCAGATCCCACGCACTCTTCCTCCCAAGGAGGGCCTAGGCAGCGGCAACCTGTCCACGTGTCGAGGTTATCCTGCACCACCAGAGCCCGTCTCCTGACCTTCGATGTCGTGATGAGCGAGCGCAGCTCCATCAACCTTGGGCAACGAGATGCACCCGCGTGCGGCAGCCTGGCACTGCCCCGAGCATGCTCAGTCCTGTCCTGACCCACTTCTGCAGGTCTGCGCTCCGGGCAGGAGGTCGCAAGCGCTACTTTGTTTTGTTTGCCAGGGATAGAGAGAAGGAGAAGAGAAACTGGGAGTCGTTGAAAGCCTCCTCTCTCCTTGACAGCAATCCCTGACCCGGCGGCGGAACATGCCCAGTCTGGCTGCACGAGCCACCAGGAGCGTTCGTGTGTAAGGTCCACCTTTCCGGGTTTTGCAGCAACCGAAGGAGAAGGGGAGGTACCGGAGTAAAAGGGTCGAAGTGGGCGTGGCCAAGGGGCGGGACGAGAGGAGCCAGGGAGGAGGAGACCGGTCTCGGTCCCCGAAATTGACTGTCTCTCGCAAGTCTTAAAAAAGAAAAAAAAGGCTGCTTACATTGCAGGGTAGTGCTGCCAAACTTCTGTTCTGCAGGCGTTCTTTATAAATTTAGAATAACCTATCTTTCCTATTAAAAAAGCATCCTGTTGTTCATTAGAGAAAACTTAGAAACTACAAATAATCAAAAAAGAAGACAACTTAAGAATCCCTGGAAACCTCCCAGTCAGAAGCCACCAGTGAACGTCCTGCCGTGTTTTCTTCCAGTCTCTTGTGTGTGGGCTTTAGACTAGACAGCAGAGACACCCGGGGAGGCCTGCGAAGCTTTTGATTGCAACGCGGCTTGACAGACGGCCTTGGAGACGGGGTAGGTTCGGAGGTCGGTTGGTTGGTTCTCCCTCGTGTCCCAGGATGGGATCCGGAGAAGCCTGTTCCTGGGTGTCTCTGAACACTCATGGGACGCGACGCTCAGAAAAGTTGCCGTGGAAGCCCCGGGAGCGCCCCGCCCCCGACAATTATCAGTCACGCTGCCCAAGCGCGACCGCGTCGGAAGTAGGCGCCCTGCGCTCCAGTAACAGCCGCGGCGTGCCGCAGCGGAGCCCCGGGGCCCGCGGAGTCCCGCCCAGAGGCTGCGCGGACTGCCCGGAGGGCATCCCGGCACGCTCGGCCCGCCCCTCTCCTCCGCGGGCGGAGCCGCCGCGCCCACGGGTTCGCCCGCGCCGCCGCTCCGCCCCCCGCCCGCGGCTGCCGCGAAAACCCGGCGGCGACACACCGCCCGGCCCCAGCCTGCGCGCCGCCCGGCGCGCCGCACTGGGCATGCTCGGCACCGGCCGGCTCCGGCTCCAGTAGGTGGGAAGCTCCGCACTCCCGGCTTCCCGCGGCGCAGCCCGCATCGCTGCGAGGCGCGGGCGAAGGCGGCTCGCCCGCAGTAGGCGCTGCCGCGCGTCGGGTGTGGAGCGCGGCGCAGCGGCAGCTCGCAGGCTGGCCATGGCGAGGGGCGCACGGCGGCCACCTGAGTGGCGAGGCGGCGTCAGGTTGGCGGGGGCGCCGGCGAGCTGGGGCGGAGGGGCGCAGGTGGCAGGGAGCCCCGCACGGGGTGGGCGGCCGAGTGGCTGCCGCCGCCGGGGCCGCGGAACTTTCGGGCGCTTGGGCTGGCGGAGGCTGCGCCGCGAGGTCCCAGCAGCGGGCTCCTGGGGGTCGTAGGATGCTTCGAGATGCTTGCGGGGCGGGACTTGGGGATCGGCGGGTTGGGGCTAGCGCGTCTCAGCCTTGTGCCATAACCTTCCTACGGCGAGGAGCGCAGTGTCTACCGCGCGCTGCCGAGGAGATTCCCGGGTCTCCGGGAGGAAGGGGAGCCAAGGAGCGGCGGGGGCCTTCGCAGACTCCAGATCGTTCGAGTCACCGTGACTCAGTTTCCCCGGGACGGAGGGGAGGGTGTGCTGTCCCGGGCCCCGAAAGCCCTGAGTGCGGGTTCCGCGTCAGGAGCCGGGAGAACACGCGTCCTGATGCTGCAGGAGTGCGGGAAGCTGTGGGCGCCGCGAGCCGCCGCCTCGCGACTGGAGCTCGCAGAGTTTGTCGCATTTGACTCCAAAGGAAGTTGACATCGAATTGCTTCATGGCGTGAAATGGGGAAACGTGCTTCACGGCTTAAAAAACAAAATAATTGCAGAGCTGGTTTATTTTAAGCTCGACCGTTAACCTGCCTTCGCCTCCAAAAACTTGAGCTTGCAAGTTGAAAGATTTATTAAGCAAGCTAGCAAAAAATGAAGAGTGTTTGCAGCTCCATTATCTGCTCACTCTGTAGAAAATAATCATTACGGTTGAATTGTCTTTGTTTTTAAGGATACTTGTTAACAGAAAAGTTTGGTTACTGTGGCAATCTTTATTTTGCGTTATCTTAGCTTTCTATTAGGAACTTGGAAACCGAACGTTGTAGAAGCGCAATGTTTCTGGTAAAGTGTTCTCACATTTGTTTCTAGATGAAACACATTTTTTTTCAGTTGCTACTATGCTGAACATAGTAAAATTTTTCAGGATGAAATGCAAGATGGAAGGAAATTCATTTTCAGGAGAGAGTAAGTTAGAACAATGTGGTTCTACTGGTATTTTACTTGTACAGAAAATGCAACTTGTAGGTCCCACTGCGATTTCCAGTGTTGGTTTTCCTAAAACATTGCTACCATTCCCACTCGTAGGATTATTGGATCTCTTAGGAGCAAGGGAAACAATCCTTTTTTTAGTGGGAGTGAGTTCCACCTCTAAGTAAAGCTAAATTTTCAAGCCTATTTTCATAAGCACCACTTAGTGGATTCATTCACTTTTTTTATTAAGTTTATTACGAATCTTCTGGTTTGGGTTCTTGGTAGAGCTTAGTAGACTTTTGAGGTGCACTGACTTTTCACTGGGTTATGAATAACCTTTAATGTTTGTTCTTGCCTGAGGTAGCTCCAGCTCTGATCCCAGATACTCTGGGTACCCAGGTGGTCTCTGTACTATGCCTGTACATAACAGAGATTTAATAGCAGGAAAGGCTTGAAATGTCAAGACAACAACAGCAATAGCAACAACATGCTTACTCTTTCTACAGTTTAGACCTACAGTCCTCCATTTTAACCAAATAGTTTGGTTGGTGGTGTTCATTGCTCCTAAATGTATTTGTAAATACGTTTCTAGAAAAGTTTAGAAACTTGAGGAATCCCAACACAAATATTAAGAAATTGTGCTTCCCTTTTCTATAAAAACACATCACGTTTAAAATCTGCCATGAAGTACTGCATGTATGCCAACTTATCTGTGCAGCAGCTCTCGTGTTCTCAGGCTGCATTCCCAAGTGGAAGTCAGTACGCTCTCCCCTCAGCCTCGGGTTTTTCCTGACCTAGAGGGAGCAGCAAGGCCTTAGTTTCCCCTTTGTGAATGGTGAGGTTTAATACAGATAAAAGGGCCCTCTTTTGCATCTAAAAATCCTAACTATTTTTTCAGTGTTAGGAAAGAATGAAATTTAACAAAAGGCATTTTTAAACACCGCTCATAGCTTCAAGACTTCCACGAGAGAAGGGAGTCTGCTAACCGGAAACTAACAAAACCAACAGGATTTAGGTTGAAGAGGGGTTTTATTATTCCTGATGAAGAAAAAAATAGCAAAGTTGACTTTGTATTCGAATTAGGAAATAGGTGATGATTTCTGCTTTTTTGTACCTAACTGTTGGGTTCTTGCAATTCAACTGCTGGGCCCATAATTTTTAGTTTGATTTCCATGTCTTTAGATTCTATACTGTATGATGGTGTTAGTGACATTAGATATTTATAGGAAACTGTTGCCTTTAAAAATAGATCTTGCCCCTCCCCCGTTCACCTGACCTTAATTTATTCAACTCCTTGTTTGGCTTGCAATTTAAATACTTGAGGCTATTTAAAATTTGTTTAATTTGAACTTTTGGGTCTATTTTTTCAATGCAAGAACTTCCAGATACTGAAATACCCAGTAAGTATTGTGGTAAAGTTGCTTTCAACCTCCAACATGGTACAGTTCAGATTTGTTACATGAGTGTCATTTTTTTGGAATTCAGAATCATGCGGATAATATCACTTCCCTAACTTGACATCTAACCAAGCACTTGGGGTGTGGCTTGCCCTTTTCTAGCCAAGCCCAAGAGGACACTTAAAACTTTGACATTTTGTGATCCATGGCAAATGGCATTAAAGTTAGAAATAGCCTTAGATGCAAACAGTTTTATTTTTGGTGTTTTAATTTTTAATTTTGGTGTTGTAGGGGAGGAAGAAATAGTCCTCTGTCCTCTAGGTGTTTCTGGCTGGTCTAAGAATTAATTGACATGAGACAGAATAACAGGAGAAAATCAAACAAATTTAATAACCTGAGTACATGGGGGAAACCCAGGAAAACTGAGAAACTCATTAAAATGCCTGAAGCCACCACTTATATACCTTCTTTGGCTAAAGACAAAGGAGGATGTGGTTTTGGAATTCAAAGGAGCAAAAGGTAATTCACATGGAGATGGAAAAGCAAATGTTTGGTACACAAATGTTTGCCAAACCTTGCAAAGACAATGGGACCTGGGGAAGACTTTGACCAAATGGGCCTTGCTTGGTTCCTCCCTATCTACCATTATAGTTATCTGTGGTGATAACTCCTTCCTGAAACAGGCCTTCTATCTTAAATTCTTTTAGGCAGTTAGAGAGAAGGTCAAAGTTTCTTTCTGATTCTTTAGTTCTTAAAAATAGTGAAGCGGAAGAAACACATTTGGGGATGGTAAATTCTGATCCCCCATACTATTATACCTCCCTGGAATGGTTAAAGGATTGGGGGGGCTGGCTGATTATGTGATAACCAGTTAAGAGCTGTCACAGCTAGTTTCTAAGTTATACTCAAAACAGAAGTCCTGTGAATTCATTGGTTGTGCCTGTGCCTACACCTGAGGTCTTTACTCATTAAGTATCACGTTCATTTTTCTTCCCCAATCTTTTCTGGTTAGGCCCTTGAGGCGGCAAAAACAAATAAAACTGGTGACTCATAATCTAGTCAGAGACATGCTTGAGGACAAATAAACTACGGTACAAAATAAGTGCTCCAGGAGAGGTGTATGTACACAACTAAGGAGACATAGGAATGAGCTTCTTGAGTTGGAGGAGGAGGGGGCCTCATGAACACAGTGATATTAACATAGAATCTTAAGGAATGCCTAAGGAAT